TCGATTAGCGCTGCAGTCGTCCAGTATGAACAGCGTCTACTCCCCTTTAAATTTGTTGTGATAAGCCTTCAACCAGTCCTGCAGACATGTCCCCGGGTCGACTTTGTGTACATCTGGGTCTGTCATCACCCAAGGTCTTTCCGTGTACGTTCTATTCATGTGCAGAGTAGGGCACATGATAACGATGTTATCAAACACATCCAGGTAGTGCCCCTCCAACATATCCAGCACGAAAACAGTCTTCCCACAGCCCGTCTGCCCGCACACTATGGCGCAGTGCAGGTCGCGGGGTAGATCAATAGATGGCTTGCCGGCAGGCAGTGGCTTGCTGCCATCAGTACAGATATAATTTCAACTTGCCCATGGGTTGAGCCTTCTTGGTAATCTGGATTGTTATCCCCTCGCTGCCGTTGTCGATGCGGCGACCGCTGCTGTGCAATTTATCATCATCCGTGGATCGCATGTCCAACCATAGTGCGTACTTGGTGGTCAGGTATTCACCGATCTGCATGGAGGATAGGTCCAGGTCCTTGATGACGTGTTGGTGCCGGGCCGGTAGTTTCGTTATCTCGTCCCACTGCTGGTGTGCCCTCATACCGGTGCTGAACAGCTGGTTGGGCACGCCCTCGATGGTGATGTCCCTTCGGAACGGCTCGTAATCCTCCACGGGGATGATCAGGATACCTTTCATCGATCGCACCGCCATGTTTAGGTTGATATTCCACACAGTGTCGCTCTTATCCCGCACGACCGCTCTATGCCTCAGTATGCGGTCGTACAGGATGGCCACCTTCCCTGAGTACTGGTTTCGAACCTGCCTTGCCAGCTCCAGGCTAGTGACCATGTCGAACTCCAGAGAGATGTTGTCGATGGTGTAACTGGCTTCATCACCGTTCGGTGCACGCATTACTTTGCTGTAGTCGTTAAACATGAGCTTGTATTCAAGCCTATCACCCAGAGTGGCCTGGTAAAAAGGCGCGTGCCCCGTGAGCAGCTCGAAGTCGAGCGGCACGCAGAACCTGTTCCTGTACACTTGGGCAATGGCCTTTTCACCCTCTGAGATCTTGTCTAGCTGGTCTTGCGTGAAGCCGTACCCCACGCGCAACCGAGTCGATTTGCTGATGCCTTGGTACACGTCATTGACGTGTTCTCCCTCGCTTTTCCAGAGGTCCCCGTAGCAGTGAAACACGTCGCTATCGTCGATGCTCAACACCTCGTTACCACTGATCTTGATAGTGGTTTTCTTGATGATGGCTCGACCTACGTTCCGCACTAGCCGCATTTGTCATTGTCGGAGGTCAATGTGAGGTTGAACGTCAGTCGAACCGTGCCTGGTACGATGAGGTCATTCTCACCCAGGTTGGGGAATCTAACCAGCAGCACGGCTCTGACGCCTAGAGGCTCTCTTGATCTTCTGAAAGGATCTAGTTTCCTACCATACATTGTTATATTGATAAAATATAAAAGTTTAATATAAATAATGGCTGAAGGCACCCCGTTGTAGCGCACCACACGGCGAAGTTGAGTTGATTCTGCCAGAACTGCATCGGGTTGTTGAACCAAGCGTGGACTGCCTTGGCGTTAGTCACCGAAAGCTTATACCGGTCGAACACATATATAAACTGGGCGCCGAAATACAGCCCAGCAGCGTCGACCACAATCTTCATGTGTGGGAAATCTATGTCCAGTTTAGGGTAAAACACTCCTGGCTTGTACATTTTTAAAGTATTATATAATGGGTATATATACTCTAACATGTACGTAACACTTCCAGGAATAACGAGCTGCGAGTCCGTTCAGTTGATGCACATGATCGATAACACGTCAGGCCAACTTGAAGTCGCACTCTGCGATATCACCTACCTACCGCGATGGACTAACATCAATGCCAACAACAACAAGCTGTTCGTCAGTGGGCCCGCAACCAGATAACTGACGGCTACTACAGCGTGTGCTCGCTAAGCGACGAGGTCTTCAAACCCTTGGGAGCCGAACTCAAGATGAACGACTCAAACGGTACAGTGGTGTTAATCAACAACAGAATAAACCCCTTGAGGCTCAGCCGACCATTGGCAAGGACACTCGGGATGTCGTCGAACGAGATAAAACCCACAACTACCGTCACAGGCACGAAGTTACCTGACCTAGTACCGTAACGAGAGCTGTGCATTCATCCCGGTCAGTTGTGCACAACGGACAACATTCAAGGTGGTCACCCTTCCACGATACTGAGAGCTGTACCGGTGAAAACGGAGAAATACAACGATGGTTGAACCAAGTCGTTTTCACCGCGGCAGTATAAAAGGTTAACTCGGGGCACCATCCCTGACTTGATAATATCAGTGTTAGATATAAAGCATAATCCTGTGAATATAGGATACCTCAGCATAACGCTGCACATAAAATGACTAGCGCACAAGGTCCCGGAATGAGGTTGAAAAATGCAACAATGCGGGGATCTCCAACCTCGGGGACACACGCGGATTCGACGACCCCGGAGTAGATGGTAAACTGTACGCCTTGCAACTGAAAAACAACATTTACAAACGTGTTGAAGTCCCCTCCATCGGTAGAACCCTAGGTGACATAGTAAATGGCCCTCAACACTCGGTTCGACCTAGTCCGCATCGGTGATGATAGATGGGCGGTATCCCAATCGTTCGGAGGCAAACTGTTCAACTTAGAAGATGTTGAGAGCACGACCGTCGCCCGAAACAAGCAGTATACCCTCGTCTTCACCGACGACGACAAGTGGGTGTTGTTACCCTCTCGAGTAGATTGGTTTCTCAACATTAGGCTCGGCTCCCCCTACGTGTTCACGGAGAACAAAGACAACTACCTAAACAGAGTCGTGAACAACGGGACGCTGCTCGTGGCTTACGTCCCGGCGCAGAGACGTAGTGTAATCATCATCCCAGTCTCCAGTATGGCAGCCCACATGCTATCGAGAAAACCGGGAGTGCAAGACGGGGCATTGCAGTTGGTGTCTGAATTCGCTGGCGTGGTCAACATCCTGGCGAGCCTACCGCCTAACTCCACGCTGGTCATCAAAGTCTACCTAGGGGAACAATCGCAGGATGAAGTCGAAATCATGAAGGGGATCAAACTCCGGTGGGTGAAACGGCACCAGTATCAAGTTTGCACACCAGTCTGCAGGGGGTCACAGTGACCATGGAAGACACGATATCACTCACCAAGATCTTCCTACCCGACAACATACACTTCATGGGGGTGAAGTGCACCCCTGAGAAATTATCAGAAAAACAGTTGGAAACTATCTTATGATAGTAATATAACAATGACTAGTCATCGGCCCAAAGCCACCCTTAACGATCTAGGAGACATGGAGGGATTCGATCTGCCTGGTGAGGAAGACACCTCGTACGTCCTGCACTTAAGAAACGGCGTGTACGTGCGGCGGCGTCTGCCAGACGGCTTTATAGAGCCTAAATGGTTGCTCAACATGACCCTCACCGAACTTTATATCTCGTTAGACAAAGATAGGTATGTCTCCGAAATTAGGAACAATGGTATCTTGTTCGGGGCTTTCGTTCTTAAGTATAGTATAAGTACTCAACTAATACCAGATCACACGGGTAACATGTTAGTTGCTTCAGGCTTGGAGGATGAGTTAAGGTTTGACGTCCCCAATTCCCAATTGGACCTTATGAAGGTGACCCCAGGGTCCACACTGGCCATAGAAGTCTACTTCATGGGGGGTGATCCCGTAGAACAGCAACTTTTACCTGGGGTGACAATACACTATAGCGCCCTAACCCTGGGCGAACGTTGCCGTATTGTCATACAACCGGACCCCTCAACGGGTTCTATAGTCCCCTCAGTAAGCCTCGACGATGTTCGTGTGGACGCAATTTATTTACCTCTCCCCTATTTCCCTGTACGAGGGTCTAAGACTTGTAAGCTTCAAATACACTGTGCAAAAAGTAAATTACGCACATTTTAAAGATATTTTTTAGAATATATTATATGCACAATATGGGCCTGTACCCAGTCGTAGAGGAAGTCACGAAGACCCTGGAAACCGTAGACGGGTTCCGCTTGAGACAGTTGTGTGATGTAAAACGCCAACTAGAACAAGACCGCGACACGCGGAAAGCACTATATAAGAAATACCATAGAGCTTTCAATATCGTGGATGGAGCTGATACTGCCCTTACGACAACCAGCATGAGGCTAGGGGCGGCAGGTGTTGGGTTGTTAGCCACCATCGTGGCTGCACCTATAGTGCTAGGCATTGAAATAACAGCTGGGGTTGTAGGGGTGGCAGGGTTGGTGTTTAAGTTTGCATCCCGCAGACTGCATCGTAAAGCGTTGAAACACGATGAGATCAGGGTCCTGGCCGAAGCAAAGCTGAACACGGTAAGCGAGCGTATTTCCACGGCACTCACTGACAGTAAGATCTCAGAGGAGGAATTTCGTTCAATCCTCTCTGAACTCGACAAGTACCGTAAGATGAAACAAGAAATCCGGTCCAAGTCTCGTAAGTCTGCTATCAGCGAAGACGAGAAAAAAAAGTACATAGAACAGGGGGTACGAAAAGCCCAGCAAGCCTTTATTACGAACACCAAAGAGATCATAGGCGATTCACATTAAACTGTTTCATTGAGGTCAACATGACATAGTGTCACGTGATCAGGATCGCGGCCATAGTGACACTATTGTGTCACATGGGGCCGGGAAGTTAACTGGGGATTCAAAAGTAGTATATACAATGGCGGCGAGACCTAAGGGCCTGACAAAAGCTTTATTAATGAAAAAAGCTTTACAGAGGCTTTTGTTGGACTTGATCTCGGACAATCATTGTATATACTACTGAGTGAAATATGCTACGGTTTTTAATGCGCGGAATTTGTTTTTCAAAGCATATCCAATAACATGTAGTGTTTATGCTTCATTAATGTTCATATTTACATGTTGTTTACTGATTTATATTTTACAATGTATGTCTGGTCCCGGATTCTGTTCAAGTATACGATTAAATGTTGCCAGAGTGCATGCTGCAACCTGATTCCGGTCCTTGCAAGCCGTATGTGAAGAGGTATTTTTTCAACAACATCACCGGTCTGTGCGAGCCTTTTGGTTACGGAGGATGTGAAGGGAATGCCAACCGGTTCATGACCAAAGAGGAGTGTCTGCAAAGATGTTACTGCTCTGATCAAAGTGTGTTCCAGATCAAAATTAGGCTGTTTTTCATACATATGTATTTGAAATGCTTAACATGTGCTAGTCAGTTCCCACAAACATAGTCCTCATTTTACATATACATTAAGGATAAGTCAGGTCTACCACTGATGTTAGTTAGTCTACCCATCAGTACGTCACACATGCTTTAACAGGTACGTCACATAAACACCACTGTTTGTCATATGTGCCGTTCGGTTGATATAAACGCCCATTGTCAGTCATGTCTGCCCATCAGTTCAAATACACGCCCGATGTTGGTCATACCTGGATATTACTTCACATACACGCCCGGTGTTGGTCATACCTGGATATTACTTCACACACGCCCGATGTTGGTCATACCTGGATATTACTTCCAATACACGTCCGGTGTTGGGAATACCTGGACACTTCACACACACGTCCGGTGTTGAGTATACCTGGATATTACTTCACATACACGCCCGATGTCGGTCATACCTGGATATTACTTCACATACACGTCAGGTGTTGGGCATACCTGGACACTTCACACACACGTCCGGTGTTGGGCATACCTGGATATAACTTCACACACACCTCCGATGTTTGGCATGCCTGGAAATTACTTCACATACACGTCAGGTGTTGGGCATACCAGGACACTTCACACACACGTCCGATGTTGGGCATACCTGGATATTACTTCACACACAGGTCCGATCTTGGGCATGCCTGGACACTTCACACACACGTCCGGTGTTGGGCATACCTGGATATTACTTTACATACACGTCCGATGTTAGTCATACCTGGATATTACTTCACATACACGTCAGGTGTTGGGCATACCTGGATATTACTTCACATACACGCCCGATGTTGGTCATACTTGGACATTACTTCACACACACGTCCGGTGTTGGGCATACCTGGATATTACTTCAAACACACGTCCGGTGTTGGTCACACCTGGACACTTTACATACACGTCAGGTGTTGATCATACCTGGATATTACTTCACACACACGCCCAATGTTGGTCATACCTGGACACTTCAGATACATATCAGGTGTTGGTCATACCTGGATATTATTTCACATACACGCCCGATGTTGGTCATACCTGGACATTACTTCACACACACGTACGATGTTGGGCATACCTGGATATTACTTCACTTACACGTCTGGTGTAGGTCACACCTTGATATTACTTCATATACACGTCCGATGTTGGGCTCACCTGGATATTACTTCACATACACGTCCGATGTTGGTCATACCTGGATATTACTTCACATACACGCTCGATGTTGGTCATACCTGGATATTACTTCCAATACACGTCCGGTATTTGGAATACCTGGACACTTCACACACAAGTCCGGTGTTGAGCATACCTGGATATTACTTCACATTTACACCAGATGTCGGTCATACCTGGATATTACTTCACACACACGTCCGGTGTTGGGCATACCTGGACACTTCACACACACACATCCGGCGTTGGGCATACCTGGATATTACTTCACATACACGTCCGATGTTGAGCATGCCTGGACACTTCACATACAAGTCAGGTGTTGGTCATACCTGGATATTACTTCACACACACGCCCGATGTTGGTCATACCTGGACACTTCACATACACGTCAGGTGTTGGTCATACGTGGATATTACTTCACATACACATCAGGTGTTGGTCATACCTCGACATTACTTCACATACACGTCCGGTGTTGGGCATACCTGGATATTACTTCACTTACACGTCAGGTGTTGGTCACACCTGGATATTACTTCACGTACACGTCCGATGTTGGGCTCACCTGGATATTACTTCACATACACGTCCGATGTTGGTCATACCTGGATATTACTTCACATACACGTCCGATGTTGGGCATACCTGGATATTACTTCACATACACGTCCGATGTTGGTCATACCTTGATATTACATCACATGTGCACGTCCAATGTTGATCATACCTGGATATTACTTCACATACACGTCAAACGTGGGTCATACCTGGATATTACTTTGCATACACGTAAAGTGTTGGTCATACCTGAACATTTCTTCTGACATACGCCCAGGCTGGTCATACCTAGACATTGCTTCACATAAACGCGAATTGTTAGTTGTGTCTGCCCATCACTTTACAGTTTTCACACACACACACACACACACACACACACACACACACACACACACACACACACACACACACACACACACACACACACACACACACACACACACACACACACACACACACACACACACACACACACACACACACACACACACACACACACACACACACACACACACACCTACTTTAAGTCGTATCTGCCTGTAACTTCAAATACACACCCATTGTAGGTTTTGTCCATCATATGACATCATATGAGAGTCGTATGCGCCAATCAGTTCACATATACACTTCAGTGTCGGTGGTGTCTGGCGAATCACTTTACATACACACCTTTTGCTAGTCATATCTGAAAAACAATTCATATTTGCTAATCACTTTATATACTCCTTCCTTGTTAGTCATTCCTAAACATTGCTCCACTTGTTATTGGTCTTGTCTGCCCATAAATTCACATGCATGCTCCCGTCTACGCCCACCCCTTGTTACTAGTTCATATATTCGCCAAAGTTCACATTTATCGCTGCTGTAAGTCATATCTGCCAATCACTTCATATATACATCTATTGTTAGCTACGTCTATCCATCACTTCATATATACACCCATTGTTAGCTATGTCTATCCATCACTTCACATACACACCCCTAGTTAGCTATGTCTATCCATCACTTTACATACACGCCCATTGTTAGCTATGCCTATCCATAACTTCACATACACACCGATTGTTAGCTATGTCTATCCATCACTTCACATACACGCCCCTTGTTAGCTATGTCTATCCATCACTTCACATACACGCCCCTTGTTAGCTATGTCTAGCCATAACTTCACATACACACCTATTTTTAGCTATGTCTATACATCACTTCATATATACACCCATTGTTAGCTATGTCTATCCATCACTTCACATACACGCCCCATGTTAGCTATGTCTATCCATCACTTCACATACACGCCCCATGTTAGCTATGTCTATCCATCACATCACATACACACACATTGTTAGCTATGTCTATCCATCACTTCATTCATATATACACCCATTGTTAGCTATGTCTATCCATCACTTCACATACACGCCCCATGTTAGCTATGTCTATCCATCACATCACATACACACACATTGTTAGCTATGTCTATCCATCACTTCACATACACAGCCATTGTTAGCTATGTCTATCCATCACTTCACATACACACACATTGTTAGCTATGTCTATCCATCACTTCACATACACGCCCCATGTTAGCTATGTCTATCCACCACATCACATACACACACATTGTTAGCTATGTCTATCCATCACTTCACATACACACCCATTGTTAGCTATGTCTATCCATCACTTCACATACACGCCCATTGTTAGCTATGTCTATCCATCACTTCACATACACGCCCATTGTTAGCTATTGTTAGCTATGTCTATCCATCACTTCACATACACACCTATTTTTAGCTATGCTCTATCCATCACTGTTAGCTATGTCTATCCATCACTTCACATACACACCCATTGTTAGCTATGTCTATCCATCACTTCACATACACACCCATTGTTAGCTATGTCTATCCATCACTTCACATACACACCGATTGTTAGCTATGTCTATCCATCACTTCACATACACACCTATTGTTAGCTATGTCTATCCATATCCATCACTTCACATACACACCCCTCTTGTTAACTATGTCTAGCCATAACTTCACATACACACCTATTTTTAGCTATGTCTATACATCACTTCATATACACACCGATTGTTAGCTATGTCTATCCATCACTTCACATACACACCCATTGTTAGCTATGTCTATCCATCACTTCACATACACGCCCATTGTTAACTATGTCTAGCCATAACTTCACATACACACCCATTGTTAGCTATGTCTATCCATCACTTCACATACACACCGATTGTTAGCTATGACTATCCATCACTTCACATACACACCGATTGTTAGCTATGTCTATCCATCACTTCACATACACACCGATTGTTAGCTATGACTATCCATCACTTCACATACACGCCCCTTGTTAACTATGTCTAGCCATAACTTCACATACACACCTATTTTTAGCTATGTCTATACATCACTTCATATATACACCCATTGTTAGCTATGTCTATCCATCACTTCACATACACGCCCCATGTTAGCTATGTCTATCCATCACTTCACATACACGCCCACCGTTAGCTATGTCTATCCATCACATCACATACACACATTGTTAGCTATGTCTATCCATCACTTCACATACACACCCATTGTTAGCTTTGTTTATCCATAACTTCACATACACGCCCATTGTTAGCTATGCCTATCCATAACTTCACATACACACCCATTGTTAGCTATGTCTATCCATCACTTCACATACTCGCCCAATGTAAACTATGTCTATCATCACTTCACAGACACACCAACTGTTAACTATGTCTATCCATCACTCCACATACACACCTATTGTTAGCTATGTCTATCCATCACTGTACATACACACCCATTGTTAGCTATGTCTATCCATCACTTCAGATACACACCCATTGTTAGCTATGTCTATCCATCACTTCACATACACACCCCTTAATAGCTATGTCTATCCATCACTGCACATACACACCTATCGTTAGCTATGTCTATCCATCACTTCACATACACACCTATTGTAAGCTATCTCTATCGATCACTTCACATAGACCCCTATTGTTAGCTATGTCTATCCATCACTTCACAGACACACCAACTGTTACCTATGTCTATCCATCACTTCACATACACACTTATTGTTAGCTATGTCTAACAATCACTTCACATACACACCCACTGTTAGCTATGTCTATCCATCACTTCACATACACACCTATTGTTAGCTATGTCTTTCTATCATTTCATATATACACCCGCTGTTAGCTTTGTCTATCTATCATTTCATATACACACCCATTGTTAGCTATGTCTATACATCACTTCATATATACACCCACTGTTAGATTTGTCTATCATTTCACATACTCACCCATTGTTAGCTATGTCTATCCATCACTTCAAATACACACCCACTGTTAGCTATGTCTATCGATCACTTCACATACACACCTATTGTTAGCTAAGTCTATCCATCACTTCATATATACTCCCATTTTTAGCTATGTCTATCCATCACTTCACATACACGCCCACTATTAGGTATGTCTATCCATCACTTCACATGCACACCCACTGTTAGCTATGTCTATCCATTACTTCACATACACACCCACTGTTAGCTATGTCTATCCATTACTTCACAGACACACCAACTGTTAGCTATGTCTATCCATTACTTCACATACACACCCACTGTTAGCTATGTCTATCCATCACTTCACAGACACACCAACTGTTAGCTATGTCTATCCATTACTTCACATACACACCCACTGTTAGCTATGTCTATCCATCACTTCACAGACACACCAACTGTTAGCTATGTCTATCCATTACTTCACATACACACCCACTGTTAGCTATGTCTATCCATCACTTCATATATACACCCATTGTTAGCTATGTCTATCCATCACTGCACATACGCACCCACTGTTAGCTATGTCTATCCATCACTGCACATACACACCCACTGTTAGCTATGTCTATCTATCACTGCACATACACGCCCACTGTTAGCTATGTCTATCCATCACTGCACATACACGAGAACTATTAGCAATGTCTATCCATCACTGCACATACACGAGAACTATAAGCAATGTCTATCCATTACTTCACATGCACACCCATTGTTAGCTATGTCTATCCATCACTGCACAGACACACTAACTGTTAGCTATGTCTATCCATCACTGCACATGCACACCCACTATTAGCTATGTCTATCCATCACTTCACAGACACACCAACTGTTAGCTATGTCTATCCATCACTGCACATGCACACCCACTATTAGCTATGTCTATCCATCACTTCACAGACATACCAACTGTTAGCTATGTCTATCCATCACTGCACATACACACCCATTGTTAGCTATGTCTATCCATCACTGCACATACACGCCCACTATTAGCTATGTCTATCCATCACTGCACATACACGCCCACTATTAGCTATGTCTATCCATCACTGCACATACAAGTCTATTGTTAGTTCTCCCGATCAATCACTTCAGGTGCATTCCCATTGATAGAATGTCTAGCAATCCACATTTATTACCCTTTTCTTAAACCAGAGAAGGTTGGTTAAATTGGGACGATGCTGAAATTGGCTTTTACACTCGTGAACTCTCTGATGGTAGCAAATATTCAACATTCTACACACAAACGCACGCAAGCACACACACGTGTACGTGTATGTGTGCGTGCGTGCGTTTGTGTCTAGAATATACTGTAGAACTAACAGACATATCCACATATATATGTTTATATCGTGGACAAAGTTTACTGTTTATGCAATGTAAACATTATTTCTGTTGACAGGGTGTTACCTCCATCCTGACTCTGGTTCCTGCACAAAGAAATTAACACGATACTTCTTCAATGTCACCAGTGGGCAGTGCGGGAAGTTTCAATATGGGGGATGTCAAGGAAACGGAAATAGGTTTGCGACATTAACCGACTGCAGTATCACATGTCGGTGTTCGTCTTGTGTGGTAGCAAATGGTCAGTGTTCTGGCTATTTCTACAACAAACATACTCAAACATGTCGCTATACGTCTAGGAGAAGCTGCAGTGCTAGTCAGCCAAACATGTTTGACACCGCTGCTCTGTGCACTAATAAATGTAACATCTGTGATTTGCCAATGGACCAAGGACCGTGTACCGGACAAATAGGGTTATACTACTACGACAAAACACCCCCACGACCAGGGTGCCGCCGATTCCTGTGGGGAGGATGTGGAGGTAATGCCAACAAGTTCGTGGACGAAGAAATGTGCCATTTCAAATGCGGTGGTGCTGATTACCCTGAACAAGAGAACAACACACATCAAGCTGAAAACCTTTCAAAGGGTGTGATTCCGGTTTGAAGACATAACAATGCCGAAATATATCTCGCTACCATTTTACCCAAACGTAAACAAGATGATCTAGTGTCGTCGATGCAACGAGATGATTTCGATATGAACCATATTCTCTTCAGACACCTACGTAAGTGCGTTACATTCTAAGTGCACGACTATCGCATTAAAAGGATTGAGGTACAAACAGTTCGGTATTTTATTGTCGTTGTTTACACGACACCCTTGTTTTATCCATTTTTAATTCTGATAACATTGGACATATCATCTCGACATGATTTAGAGAGAGAGAGAGAGATTTTGCACGAGTTTCGTATAAATCGTATAGCACACTTGAGAGTGCAATACTTTCTTTATTATCTATTCTATTTATGTACATTTGTGCAGTAAAACACTGTAAGCCCTCTTCATTGACGTCACGTTCAATTTTATTTGTTTAATGACGTCACAGACGACGAAATACAGAAACAATGGTTGCTAGTCGTATGACACACTTGCTCGCCTAATAAATAGAGGATATTATATAAGTGCCCATATCATGGTATGTTTACGACACGAGTGGTAAATTGTTGGTATTTCCCGAGCGATAGAGAGGGATATACCGATATTTAAGCACGGTGTCGTAAACATAGTATGATATGGACATGAATATAATATTCTCTTTATTACCAAAGTCGTCAAATTGAGAAAAATATACCCAAATCTACTTTCAAACATAGGCTAGGTACCTGCCGTCGCCTATGTAGAACGCAACGTCAGAGAAGAAACGTGACGTCATAGCATTGTTCATGACGTCACGCCACCATGACAAAGTGATATTTTGCCCTAGGGCATCGTATGAAAGATATGAACCCCGATATTTTCGCCCTCGTGGGTAATAATCTCTATTTATTATCCATAAGTTTGAACATAAGTCATGTCATATTTTTAATACGTGCACATGTGCACATATCACTTTTGCCTGGCAACTTTCGTCGTCTGTGACGTCATTAAACAATTGAACGTGACGTCAATGAACAGGGCAGTCACACTTGCTTACCGTGTTTTCTTACACACCTGTGAGTGAGACACCCATGTGAGAAAACTGGTATCACACATATGTGCGAGATCGATTTCTAATCCCGTGATTGGCTACTCCATGGCGTTCGTGTTAGTGTACTTTCCAAAACATCCCAACCGATTCTAGATTTATCGGCGACGTTTCAGAAATATTCAGACGTGTTTCTTCACAGCAGACGAAATGTTTGTTTTTGTTCCGAGGTTTAGCCGTGTTTACGTCGCGGAATTGTGGGACAAATGTAGGGGAATCCCCGGATTTAATGAACATATTTACATTAGGACGTCATTAGATAATGATACGCTAATAAATGTTTGATACAACCGTTTTTAACGTTGCCATTAACTAATGATGCATTAAGGATTTTATGTATCATTAGTGTTTAAAGTTGACATTAGTTAATGAAGCAATGATACAACCGGATCCTGGTCTTTTAGCAGCAGGATGATTATCAAAATGGGGGAGAACAACTGGATCCAGCACTTCCTGGATATATTGATCACCGTCAAATTCCCACGTATTGTCAACAAGTTAAGTTTACAGTCTTGAGAGACACATCCCCACAACATGACTGAACGTCCGTCATGTCAGCGCATGTCCAGCGCATGGAAGTAAATGTCCCTCGAGAATATCTGTGTACCGCTCACTGTTCATATTCCCTTCAAATACACAGAGGGGCGTTGCCCCTAACACAGATATGCCACCCCACACGTTAAATTTCGGACTTTACTTTGGGCGCTGATACAAAGGTTTTCAGTTTGTTTGGTCCAGAATTTCAGTGTATTACGAAACAGACACACAGAACTTTCATATGAGAAAATCACATTGTCCCAGTTTAAATTTCTATGCTGTAAGCACCAGTTCAACCTTCGCTCCTTTTGTTCAGGTTTCATGATCGGTGATGGAATTCCTCGACTTTTCGGCCAACCCCTTGCATGCAGCTCAGTTCTAATTTGTCTTCTTACAGACAGCCACAGTTCCTCTATCAATCATATCCAGCCTTAAGTTTTCTAAACTCCTTCGTTTGTTTTTAGAAACAAGAATACCAAGCCGCCTCCTGTCACCGACAGTCAATTTTCTGGACCTACCTGCGCCTCCCTGGTGCTCAGTGCCATATCCATTTGCAATATTTTTCAAAACACGATAAACAGTGGACAAAGGGATGCCTGTTCTACTTGAAATCACTTTAGCTGATCTGATGTCCTTGTTATAATACTCTAAAATCAACTTCCTCTTCTCTAAATCTTCCATACTGAGGATCACTGAAAATGTCGCCTGCTAGCAAGTAAACAAACGGGGATAACTCTTCACAAACTAATGAAAAAAAGGATTCACGGAGTTGTCTCTCTTGAAGGAACCCAAGCACTTGATAGCTGGTCAAGGTTGTTTATACTAGAAATCCAATTAAACATATTCCTAAAATTCTCAATAATTTCTGGTCATACTATATAACCTCTGTCAACTGTAAGTCAATCAACACCCCAGCGGCATCTTTCAACGTGAGAGCGAGCCAAGCCCTGATGACAATGAGGTTAGCCAAACACCCAAGCTACAGCAGGGACGATCTAATCAGCATATATGAGTCTATTAGACCACTTGGCTTGAACAACTTTTGTCCACCTATAGACGCTTATGTGAATTACATGAAAAGCACTTACAAGAGGCGTTGATGTAGAGTAGGGAGGTAAATACAAAGGCCCATTAGAGTTTATGTGTCAAACAGAGAGTCCCCTGCTGGTCCCAGAGTGCAAGGTGATAACTGTATAAACCTAAATAATCTGATAACTGTGCCACTGTCAACATCACCCAACTCTACCTTAAAGACTGTGAAAACTTGTTTGCTGAATGCCAGGTCAGTCCGCAATAAGGCAAAAAAGATAAATGACTATTTTCTAGAACAGCACTAACCACCATCTCGTCTTAACTGGCGACTTCAATAAACAGATGGACAAACTTGATAATCCACTGACTGAACAATTCTTGGACATGTTATATTCATCCGGGCTGAATCAGCATATTGACCAGGCCACACACAGGAACGGCCACACTCTTGACTGAGTAATAACCAAATCTGACGATAACATAATATCTTCCTCACACGTGGTAGACGTGGGTTATCAGACCATAGCAGTGTATTCTGGGACTTGCAAATCGAGGAACCAGGTCCGCTAAGAAAGAAGTTGACCAATCGTAAAACACGTGCAATAGGCATGCAATCCGTCATGATCACTGAGGATCTGCACAACACTCTAGCGGACATTAACATTGCGGGCATTGATTCCACTGATGCCAAAGCTGTAGCATACAATAATACTTTGTCCCAGGTCCTCGATTAGCATGCACCACGGGCCACCATAGTTATTAGACCGAGGTGTGCCTGGATGACCGACGACATTTTCAAAGCTAAACACGGATGTTGACGTGCCGAAAATACATGGTGCTGGTACTGGACTGGTTGTACACAGACAACTGTTTCCAGCCTGTAGAAAAAGGGTCTACTCCCTTGTGCGTAAGTCCAAATTGTCTCATGTAAAGAAACAGATAGTCGACAACAAAAAAGACACTAAAAAGCTGTACAGGATTGTTAAGTCTCTCACAGAAACAAAGGCTGATACACACAAAACAATGCATCTAAAGTTTTGTCTATGAAGCGGGCGAATGATATAGCTACCTTCTTTGTAGACAAAGTGGACAGGATTGTGGACAGCATTACCTCTTCAGGTCCCAGCCACAATGCCTTGACATATGACACCAGATTCCATGGCACAGAACTCTCCACTTTCGCTCCTGCAACTGAGTGTAGTGTGAGCAAGGTGATTCAGGCAGCACCAAACAAGACAAGTTCACAAGATCCCATCCCAACATGGATACTTAACCTTTGTCTCCCTGCGGTCGCCTCTCCAGCATCCTCAGTGATCAAGTTGGCTTTAGAATCTGGCATCGTACCAAGTGTCTGAACCTGTGGTTCCTATCGTACTGAGCAGGATTACCATTGCAACGACCGAAAAACGTCATCGGTAGGGTAAAACTAACCTGTCTGCAATGCTTCAAGGAAGCAATTGTGACTCCCATTCTAAGGAAACAATCACTAGATCCGGATGTTTTTAAGAACCTACACCCAGTCTCCAACCTCAGTTTCCTTTCAAAAATCATGGAAAAGGTTGTTCTCTCCCAACTGCAATCACACATCAATGATCACAGACTAACTGAAATATTTCAGTCGGCCTATAAGCGATCACACAGCACGGAAACAGCCCTTGTGAGAGTACAAAATGTTGTAGAAGGGTATTTCTTCTCGTCCTCCTAGACCTCTCTGTGGCCTTTGACTCCATGTGTCACAACATCCTTCTGTCAAGACTGAAAAACACATTCGGCATCTCTGGCAGGGTTCTTGACTGGATCGAGACTTACTTGCGAAACCAATCCATGCGTGTGTAAGTGGACGGTATAACATCAGCCCCGAAAATCATCAAACATGGTGTCCCGCAAGGATCCGTTTAAGGTCCTGTTTTGTTCACATGCTATTCCCAGCCACTGGGGAACATCATCAAAGGTCACTCTTTGGACTTCCATGGATACGCCGACGATTAGCAGTTGTATGTGGCGGTTAGACCATTGAATGTTAGCACAGGAATCCACAGCATACAAGTCTGCATCAGCGACGTTCATGATTGGATGTCTGCTAACTACCTGCAATTTAACAAGGACAAAACAGAATTCATTATATTTGGTACTCAACAACAGCTCGCCAAGATTCCAGATACCATCAACCTATCTGTGGACAAGATCTGTGTTGCTCCAGCTACAACTGTCAAGAATCTGGGCGTTGTCATAGATAGAACCATGTCAGGTAAACATCAGGCACTCAACACAGACAAAGTAGCAAACTTTCAAATCGCTAACATCGGCAAACTCCGAAAGTGCCTTTATAACGAAAGTTGCAAATTCTGAT